AGTTTCCGTGACTCTGAACCTGCTGCATGTGAAAACTGAACACTTGGCATCATTGACGCATGATTGGAACAAAACAGTCATGTCAACTAGTCAAGAAATGACAGCTATTGTAAAACATTGACCACTAGTGACCTCAGCTGTGTTGTTTGTTTTAGCATTTTCAAAATTGCTCAAGGAAGACGTTTATGACATTTCTTTTCGCTTTAATGCAGTATAGTTGACGGGTGATCATGCGGGGAACCTTTTTAATTGAGTTCATTCACATCAAACAATGAAATGAGGAAAACAAATCCAGCATTTAAAGCGTCACAATGATTTTTCTGAGGTTGAAAATTAAAATGATGAAAGAAAAGTTATGCACATGTGAAGATCGATGAAAAAAAGGTCAACATTTTTGCTGACTTTAAAATATCTTGCTATTCATGTCAATTTACATTTGATGGCAACCACCACAATACTTTGGATTGAAAAATCCAACCACATAAATAATGAACAAAGACCTTGATTAGTCATTATTTCTGTTCCAGTACATACATACAAAAAAAAACACTTCAACGTATACATTGAAACAACATTTTAAGTTTACATAAATGTTTTTTAATGTGTACCAAAACTGAAACATCGGTGAGGGTTAATCATAATGTTGCAGTTTATTTGTCAATAAGAATTGCTGCGCAGTTCTACACGTGGAAAATAAAAGCTCAGTTTGTTTACAAGTTCTTTCTGATCATATAATTTCCCTTGTGTACAAAGTCCTTCCTTGTCTCACAATTCACGCTTACTTCGCGACTTTCTCGGATTTTTTGTGAAATTTATTGTGTTTCTTGTGCTTGCCCGATGCCTGGGCGGCTTTCTCGGCCACAATTTTCTGGTACTTCTTCTTGTTGTTGCTGGGGGGGGGAAAAACAAAACATCAGTACACAAAGCAAGTCAGATTTCTAGTTTGAAAATCAAAACAATAGCAAGTATAGATTTTTTTTTTCATGGCATGAAACATGTTTCAATCATGAAGTATTCACTCCCGAACCACTTCATTACACACATAAGCTGTGTCGAAAAGTACACCTTGGCGATGATCATTTGGTCCGCGGTATGAATGACACAATAGCTTCATTACTGTGCCCGTGATTTGCTTTATGACTTTTATTTATTGTTGTAGATTGTGTACCTAAAGTGACTGTTACCTGCATACTGCCCCAAGAAAAGCATGTATCCTTTTTTTTTTTTTTATTGAACAAAGTGCAAAAGTCCTGCTTGACAGTGGATTTTATTTTTGCCCGAAAATAAAATGGTGGTAATTATCAGCAAATAGCAAGAATATCATACCACTCTGTTGGATATCAATTGTGTATTGTTTTGTATTTTTCCCCTCTCTGCTTTTGGGAAAATTAAATGACAGTACCATTTGAGTTTTCCTTTCCCCTTATGTGATTTTCTTTATTTCTGCCAGTACATTTCCTCCCTGGTATTAATTTGCATCAACTTCCACAAGCCACAATTTTTTTTTCTTGGCAGATGACAATGCGATCTTCTTGGGAAAATATCTTTTTAAAAAAATGTGTGGAAACACGAGCCTTCATGTATTGACATTTGGAATGTTAATTATTTAGTGGAACGTGAGCCGTCATACTGCACATCTCGTCTGGTCAACGCAGGTAATATCGAAGTGCCCCGGCGCTCTGCGCATTCCTTCTGAGGCGAGGCGGTCTCTGCCAAATATGAGCGGCTTGGAAGCACGCACCTCGTGTCAAGAACTTGGTCTCCCATTGCCCTCTACTTGGCGCCGTTGTTGTCATTAGCAAAAGACTGGGAAAATAATTCTGCTCATGTTTGTCTGTTTCTTTGGGGGGTAAAGTCACTTTTGTTTTTTTTTTTTTTTGTAAATTGGCTCCTCTCTGCGGAAGCGTCACCTGCCAAATCCGAGCACAAAGCACGGAGGAAAGAGACAAACTTGACTTCATTCACAATGTTGACTAACCTCCTGAACTCTGCATCAGCCAGCAGCTCCTCCACCATTGTTCTCTTTCTCTGCTTCTTGGGAATGCGAGAATGATAGAAGTCGATGGGGTTGTCCTCCACGGTGGCCACCTGCATGCCGGCACAGAAACACTCTTAAAAACACCGCACGTGCCTTCCAACAGGTAATGACAAATCTTTTTGGGGGAGGTTTTGCCCAGACCTGGAAGTATTTGGGGAAGCCGTCTCGGTCGTTCTTCTTGTAGAACCTCTTGGGATCCATGGAGGCTCTCATCTTCAACAGTTTCAGGTCTCCCTTCAGCTCCTTTGTGAGCTCAGGAGCTTTCATGTTGAACCAAGCGTCTCCCGTGGTCTTCTCACGCTCCAACTGGGAGAGGGGAAAAGAGGAATTTTGACAACTGAGTGAATAGGCCGCTGCTCTGCCATTGGCTATTGCCGAGCATCTTCCTGCCATCCCATTGGGTAAGAGGAACCTCTACCGAATGTGTCTTTGTGTGTAGATAGACGTGTCTATGCAGCGTCCTCGTCATTTGCCATGAGGTAGTTTTACGTGAATGCGAATCACCCAGAAAAAGTGTTCACCAGTCGGGCAATCGCTCACTATGCTGTTGTTTGCCTTGGACCTTTTCGAAGGACTGTTAAAATCCGACAAAAGCAGTTCTTTAAAAAAATGCCAGGCAAAAACCACTTCTGAGCGAGAAGATGCACTAAAGAGGGCAAAAAAACAATGAGGATTCAGTTAAACTCTATTCTGTTTTTTACATGATGCACAAATCTCATTTCTTGTGCAATAATCTAATTGTAACATGTATTTGTTACATATTTTGATGCATTTTTATGCTGTAGAAAACATTTGTGATTTTTTTTTGGGGGGGGGGGGGGGGGGAACAGAATTCGGGGACCTAAATAAAAAATGGGTCTCGACTTTTCCACTTGAGAAATTTCTTCCAGAACCAATTAATTTCATAATCTGAAAAGACGTACTACATAATGTAAAGAAAATGGCGGGAGTGCAAGAACAAATCCCTCCCCATATAAAACACAGTTTTCAAATTGAATCTCCAAAAAGATAGCTCCACTTACTCTGCGTTTTTGTTTCAAGGCTTGTTTGGATTCACTGTACGGTGGTACGGAGTCCTTCTTCTCAAAGTCCGATCCCATCACGCTCTTCTTCATCACCTGTGCACAAGACCACCAATGTTACAAGGCATGGTGAGATCATCTGTAGAGCACCTTTCATATACAATGCAAATCTGTGGGACACAAAGGAATGTTTAAAAGCATGATTTAAAAAAAAATAAAATCCCAACAATGAAGACAAAGGCCTGCCCTAAATGGTACTGGAAATAATTGACACCCCCACCCAGCACCATTTTTCCCTTCGACCTGACCGTCATCTTATTTCAAGACCATCACAAGGGGCAATGGCGCCATCTTGTGGCGTCTTCGGGCCCCTTCGGTAAAGGGCACAATAGGACCCAACAAATAAAGAAACATCTGTGTAGGTGAGAGGGGCAATACTGCAAATGAAAAGACTAAACAAAACATTCGAATGCCAAAACACAGATTGTCAAGTTGAAACGACAAAAGAAATCTCATTCACTGTTAGAATTTGACAAAGCGGTGTGACGTGTAGTAGGAAGAACAACTTTTCACACGGCAAGAAGAAGCGACGAGACAAAACTATCAGGCCGCCATCGACTTCCTCAGCAGTGCGGAACCTTCATAATGCTCGTTATTAATCGTGGCCAGGAAAACACGTCGGTGGGTGCAATTGACCTCATCCTGGTCCTTCTTCGCCTTGTGCTGCCCCACCGAACTGGAGCCCGGCTTTGATTTGCTGCCGTCGAAAGTGATGTACAAACCCCCGAGCTGTCTCATGTTGATGCCCGGGTCGATGCGAGTGGACATCTCTTTCCTGCAACAAATGGCGAGGGAACGTCACGGCTCATTTCCTTCACACGCTCCTCATCAAGCTCAATGAAAAATGATCAAGTGTTGCCAAGAGACGTATTTATTCGAGAATAGATACTTTTGATCCCTCTTGTTGACATTGCCTCAGGGGAAAGGGCTAAAACCTGCTGAAGTTGATAGTAAGAGCGAGTCGTGTTGGGTGTGTGCCTTGAAGAGGCGGGGCATAGTGAGTGACATCAGGAACAGGAGACTGTTAGTGTGTGAGCTTCTGAGCGTGAGTTGTGGCCTATCGCAGCTCAGTGGGAGTGTTCATTTCGTGTTCATACTGTTCAATCAACAGCTGAAATTGGATTGGCGACTGGCTCTCCTTGCCCGCTTGCAAGGGCATTACAGTACCTTAAGTGTTCCATTTTTTTCCCCTCACTGGAGTAAGACTGCGACAAGCAATTTTAACTCATTCAGGACCAGCCAATTCTGGACCAAGTCTGAAAAGACGTTTAAAAATGTCTTTGGGAGTGAAATGAGTTAATGATCCATTATTCCCGTTGATTGTTTTTGACAATGAATCGGATTTTTAATATCCATAACTCTTTTCAAAAACAGCATTGAGAAAAAAAAAAAGATTTTGACTCAGCTATGGGGTCGGTCCGAAACAGGCAAAAAGTGTATGTTTTATATTTTTCAACACAAACACTGATCAACAAACACGTATTTATTTTTTTCAATCAGATTCAAGTGAACTTAGATTTTTGTTGCACTTATTCCGAATCTTGTTTTTTTTCTACAGCATCAGGTTTTCATAATAATAATAATAATAATAATAATAATATTCAGTGTGCTACACTTCATATTTTTTTAGAAATGTATTATTAATTTTATTATCATTGCATATATATTTAGGAAGATTTGTGTATTAAGGGTGAGATTCAGCAACAGGTGGATTTTTTTTCCTAAACCGTGACAGCTATAAATTGCAACGCATTGTAAAATCTGCATTGCACAAATGTTGTAGGTCAGACTTTAAAACAAACAAAAAGGAAAACATCTCAAAAATCTGACGACAAAGTGTGCCTAATAAAGTGTCCTTTTGTCTTGTGTTTTACTCACAGTAAAGGATTCCTGGTCGACAAGAGAAGCGTCTCTTCCCCGCAGTCGTCATCGTCTTCATCGGCCACCTCATCCACAAACTCCTCCTCCTCCTCCTCCTCACCTTGCTTGGCGCCCACCACGTTCTCCTGCGTGAGGTGCTCCGTGTAGTAATCTTCATCTGCTTCCTGCCCGGCCCTCGTGTCCACCACGAACAGGCCGTCGACAGACTCCAGTGCCACGGCCTCCTTTGTGGGCTTCCTGCAGGGTCCTGGTCTATCGCCTGTGTCCTCGTCTTCTTGGTCCTCCTCCTCCTCTTCATCCTCTTCTTCATCCTCATCCTCACTGCTTTCCAAGAGGCTGACTCTTTTAGTTGCCTTGGTGGCTTTCATGTCCTTAAGTGGAGATTTCTTCGGTGTCGTCTGCTCAACGACGGTCACCGTGGCCTCCTCGGGCTTCCCGGAGAGGCCTTGTGTCCCTCCCATCTCCTCCTTTTCTAATTCCTCCTCTTCTTCATCATCTCTGCTCGCCACGGGGCTACTTGTTGATGTTTTGTCAGTGACTTCCGTGCCCTCAGGCGGAAATTGGTCAGGTGTCACTTGCTCATCGACGGACGCCACGGCCTCTTTGGGCTTCCTCTCACCAATATCGTCTCCTTCTTCTTCCTTGCCGCTCTCCACAATTGCTTCCTGGCGTGTCACCTGCTCCACTTCCATGTCCTCCTCTTCCTCCTGTGTTCCCGAGTCAACCACGTGGTCATCGCGCGACACCTCTGCTCGCACGTTTTCGTCCTCCTCATCGTCTGCGCCGACATCCTCGCATCTCGCTCCTGAGGGTGAAGGCCCCGTTTCCTCCTCCATGTCTTCCACTGCCGAGGCGTCCTCTTCAAGCTTTTCAGCAGACAGCTCGCCCTGCTGGCCAGCAGTCGCCACTGCAGCTTCAACGAGAACTTCCTCCCCATCTTGTCCGACTTGAGTCACGACCGCCTCAGCTGAGGTCACGTTGACTTGCTCCACTTCGACCAGCAATGTGCGGTCTTCTGCATCCTCGGCGATCACCGTGCTATCCAGCATAGAATCACGTGGTACGTTTCCTTGCAAAGAGGACTCCAGGACAACGCGGAGATCCTTAATTGGTGTGGACTGATGCCGCCAAGCACTTCCTGAGCCGGTGCGGCTGCTGCAGGCGCTACCCAGGGCAAAGTGTCCGTCCGTCGGGTCAGAGTCTGACTCGGCAGACTTGGAACTGGGGGATCGGATTTTCACCCTGCTCTGCGTGCCGATCGCGTATTCAGAGCCAGATTCGAAGCCCTCGGAATCGCAAGACTTCTCGACGATGGTCTGTCTAGTTGTCCTCCGTCTTCTGGAATTCGAGGAGCTTTCCGAGGTTTCGTCCAGGTTCAAAGGAATGGGACTCAACTTTTTTCTTAATCTCGCACTCTTGCGGATCGAGGACTGAGAAACCGGAGCTCCTGAGACGTTAGAAGCAAGGCTCTCGTCTTCAGAAAGTTCGGACTCTTCTGGTCGTGGTCTGGCGGAGGATCTGGTGCGTTTTCTTTGACTTCGGGTCACTCTTTGGGATTCGGTCAGCAATTCTGGAGCTGCCCTGCTCCTGGTGTTTCTGACTGTTTTGTGCACAGACACAAAAGAACTGCTGGTGTCCGCCTCAGACACTTCTTCGGCATAATTCAAAGTGACGCTAAGTCTTTTGCTTCTTCTGCTACGTGTTGCTGGAGGGTCACTGTCAGACACAACAGAGCTACCGGATTCCACCTTCTTGTTGGGAGCCCTCCTCTTCGAGCTTCGGACATTTTTCGAAGAGCAGGACTCCACCTCGGATTCTTCTTGACTGACTTGGTGCACCGCCCTTCTGCGCGTCAGCGGCAGTTCCACATCGGAGACGGCAGAGCAGCACGAGTCCAGGTCGGACACATCTGCTTCGTGGATGGAGCCCACGGGGGTGCAAGGCTGCTCGGGGCTGTGGAGTCTGGATGCTCGTGAGCATATTTTCAACAGGTTGCTGGATTCTTCTCCATGCCGTTTGCTGGTTTCCACCAGAACACGCCGAGTTGAGTTCTCCGCTTGTGAGGCCGCACTCCTGGTTCTTCGCCTTGTTGATGGAGTGGCCTGTGAGGCAAGAGAGGAAAATATCAGGACTGCAGCTTCACACAATGCGTTTGTGTCATTATGTGTTTAGTAGTGACAGTTAGACATTTGACAATATTTCAAACATCAGTGATTCCCAACTTGTGCGTGAAATTATCTAATTACTGGTCCAAAAATGATTACTTTAACATGAGTCAAGTATTTTAAGCACGACTGTCATAAAAACTAGAAAAGAGAGAGACAGAGATTCTGAGGTGTTGACAATTTACGCGTCTTTCTTAAATGCCTGCCACTATAGTAAGTTTTGTGTCCGGCTAAGCAGGCCCAAATGTCACGCCGAATAAGTAAATTGACATTATCACTTTTATTGTACTTTGTGTGACATTTGGTTGGTGCCGTAATTTTTTTTCAAATGTAAAATGGGTGCCTTTTTTTCCCCTCAAGAAGGCGCCCGAGTAGGGAGCGTTGGCAAGTTCTCTTGAAGAGCCTTGCGGTTTTTGTTGTTGTTTTTGTCTTTTGTTTTGTCGAATGGTGGTGATGTTACGTCGTGTGGACCTGATGTGGACCTGATGTGGATTGTTTTCAGCATTTTTGGCCACGACATTCGTCAAAGAAGAAGAATCTGTGCTTGGTGGTTGCACACGTGTACCAGCACTGATTTTAGATAAGAAAACCTTTAATAGTCTCACAATGGAGAAATTCCCACTTCACAGCAGCAAAGTTTGACTGGGAGGAATGTCGGCGCCATTTGACTGTCGTTGCTGGACAGCCGGGCGATTGTGTTTTGCGCCTGTAATGGGGAGCATTTTCACAGCCCCGCTTTGTTCAGCGGAAAGGTCGGTGCTCTTGGGACAGTCTGCGGCTGGATGGATGCATGGCTTGAGGAGCCGACGATGAGAAGAAAGGAGCGTCAGCGCAGAGCGCTGATGCATAAGTGGAACTGGGAGTCTCGGCTTGGAATTGAAGCGGATTTACATGGGACAGGAGATGAGAGCCAATCTCTTTTTCGTTAATGGACGCTACAGCTTCTTGTTGCTTTCAAACTTAGCTTGTAGCAGACGCATGCACATGTTCAGCATGACGTCTTTGATCCACTGGTGAAAAGGATACTTTGATTCGCTCCTCTTTCATCTATAACTGTTTCAAACAACAAAGCGTATGCAGGAAAAGTGGTTCAGATTGCACGGCTGTCTGTGTCTTATGTGTTGTGTTGTGTTGTATTATTTTGTCATTTTATGTTAACTGTTCTTTTGATGGCGGCGCAAGCACCCCCAGCGGCTCCTCTTGTTGTCTGGTTGAGAGGGAAGAAATTTCATCTGTGCTGTTTGTTGCACATACAGCGCATTTAACAATAAAGTTGTACTTGACGGGTTTCCTCCCACATTCCAAAAACATGTATGATGGTTGTCTTTGTGCACTGTGAACTTTGCAGCCTAGTGCAGGAGGGAAATGCCACGAGGTACACAGACTTTAGATTCTATATATAATTCTTCATACATTTTTTTTTTAAGGGAGTGTTATTTTCGATCAATTGATTAGGATTCGTCCTCGTGATGGCAGTCGAGATTGGGCACAAATGAACCAATCCCATATTAAAAAAATAATTCATACCCATGTTTCATTACAAACTGTAATTTTTATTTTACTATTCCCCGTATATAACAATGTCAGTATAGAAAACAAAAGTTAAAACAGTATAGAACACAGAACTCTTTGAAGTTTATGAGCGAACGCTAGCAGTGGACCACGTGAGTTGGAACATCTATAAGCAACAGCCGATCAAAAAACACGCCGAAAGCTTACAATATTTCGATCACAAACAAAATGTGTGTACGCTGCTCGGAGAAGGTTGTAGGCACATTTACCTGGACGTCTGAGGCCTGCTCGAGCTTAGTTTTAGTTGGAGAACACCTTCGAACCCCGCTTCTGGTGGCCACCATCTTGGATCAACTGTCACTTCCGCTTGGAAAACCAGACGAAAGCAATCGATAGGGAAGAACGAGATTGGCGTGAGCAAATGCTTTTAAAATACGGTGGACCCCTGTTCGCTGGATATCAGTCAAAGAATTGGACCGCGAATCGGTATAATCCGTCAATAATCGACATCGAGTTACATTCAACCATCCATTTTCAAGACTGATTTTCCTGAACACTCTGAACTACACTGAACAGTCAGTCCCAGAGAACATTTATATCAGGCGAGTGTACCCCTACGTCATCAGTGACGACATCAAATTACATCGATTTTTTTAATTTCAAGCCCCGACCGACGCTTTCCCCAAAAATATCCTTGAATAAAAAGGTGATTTTTAACTAAAAGAAAGAAAAATGGGTGTTGCTCTCCCATTAATATACCCAGGACTCATTTTATATATTTAAATCAGATTTAATCTTGAAAGTTTGGAACATTTAAATTCTATGTAACAGATTAAATTTAAATCATACACACGGATTCAACTGTAAAAAAAATTTGAAACCAGCCCCAAATGTTATACATTTTTAATAAAGACGGTTTTTGCCAAATGACAGTACAGGTAACATGACCAGCAGATATGTTCAAGTAATTTACTGGATTAAACAAGTTTTAACTCAGAAAATAAAAATACCTCAAAAAGGATAGTTACATATCTCCCAAACTATTAAAAGAAAAAAAATCAAATACTTAATCTAAGCCTCAACTTAATCTAAAAATCGTACTTTCATCTCATGACAAATCACAAGTGAGGGTCATAAAACGGTGGCAGCAAATCAGTAAAATGTTAGACTAAAGGCTAACTAACTCAACTTCCAATGGTAAAATTGTGAGGTTTTTGTTTTGATGAGGAATGCAAATTACTCCGGCAGGGGGGAAAAAAATCAGAACTTGATAAGCCATTTCTTTTTCACAAAATACAAATGATTAAAGGAAAATAAACGTTTTTTTTTACAGTTTCTTCTCGATATAATGAAAATTTGGTGATTAGAGAAGGCATGAGGACGAGATGATCAGCTGCAGTGAAGCAC